GCATGTTTCAGAGCAGGGGCATTGCTGGTGTGAGGCAGCTGAATGCGATTGTGGACGATTATGGATGGACTGTCATGCACATCGCTGCTCGAAACGGAAATATACCCATGGTGAGATATGCCTAAGAAAAATCATCTGCCCCCTTCGCCTTCCTCTCAATTCCTTCTCCTTCATCTCCTCGCTCCATCTTTCCCCCTTCTTCCTGCCCCCTTCCCTCAACCCCTCCCTCTCCCCTGTTCCTCTGTTTCCGCTACTTTTGTTTCCTTACACCTTCAACCATCAAATCTGCATCAAACCTTCCACCTTACACCTTATATCTTCCGTTCTCCCACACTGCACCCACCTTTTCTCAACCTTCCCAACATTTATTGTCCCTCCCACATCCCTGTAGCTACATGCCCTACTGCGCGTGGGCATGTCGGCCGGAGAGCGCAGTACGCTCAATGCCACCATGCCAATGCACCTGGCGTCATAGGGGGAACACACGCAAGCCATGGAGCTGCATTGCGTTGGCATTCGCGCTCGCACCATCGAGGGCTGTGAGTGGCTGGGAGCTGTGAGTGGCTGGGTGTGGTTTATTTCACTATGTATGGTTCTGGGTCCCTCATCTTTGACTCATTCTCAAGACCTGGTGTGTATTTATTCAAATTGACTCCGTGTAGAAGCTGTTTCTAGAGGAAGGTGACACACTAGTAATGTGCCATCCTCTGCTACCTTCACTCCACTTCTTTGCACTTCCTTTTGCGTTCCTGTTCTCTTGATTTCCCAATAATATGCCCTCCCCCTCGTGTTTTCCTCCCACCATCTTCCTGGCACGTTCCCCTCCTAGGGACCCCAGTGCTTGTGGCCACCAAAACTATTTGCGCTATGCGCTCTAATCGTTACTGAAAGGGGCGTGACTATTCTAGTGACTGAAACGGCCTGCTGACGTAATCATCTAGATGAGCGCTGTTTGCTGACGTCATTCAACGGATGCTAACTACAGTACAATTCTAAAATATCTATCGGAACTATTTACAGAAATGCTTGAGTACGAATTTATCACAACACTCCCCTTCATTTCTGGAAGTCCGATAGAGTCACTTCTAAACGATTCCGCAGAGCTCATTGCAGTACTGGAACTTCTGATATGTCAGCTTCTTGGTGAGAAAATCTGCAGCCATCTCTTTGGTCGAGCAGTAGACCAATCGCATTCTCCCCTTCTCGACTTCATCCTTAACGAAGAAGTACCGTAGCGAAATGTGTTTTGTCCTGTTGGTGAAGCCGGGTTGGTGCGCAATTCTGATCGCACTTTGGTTGTCGCACTACAGGGTGAACTGTGTACTTGTCGTCAATTTTGCTTCCTTCAAAAGCTCTTCTAAATAGAGACCTTTGCGAGTAGCTGTGCAAGCAGCTATAAACTCGGCTTCAGCAGATGATAGAGCTATGCGTTCTTGCTTTGTAGAATTCTAGGAGATAGTCCCGATAGGTTTGAGACGATAGATGAAGCTGGTGCGAGATCGGCAATGCTGCATGATCAGCATCGACGCACCCCTTGAGATATAGAGTTTTCATAGTGGTGACTTGATAAGTAAGTCCGACTTAAGGTGTCAAAATGAAATACTGTAGAGCGCGAAGAAGATCTAGCCTATTCTCTCCATCAGGTCGATGCAAATATTGCGCGAGCTGGATAGCGGCATGAGCGAGATCTGGACAACATGCTACGGCTGCGAATAGAAGACAACCCAGCTGCTGCTGATAGAGCTGTAGTTTAGTGCTATCAAGTGGAGTGGTATCGGGTTTGTAGGTAGAGATCAGTAAGGTGTGGAAACTATTGAAGGTGTGAGGTTAAAATGTGCGGCTAGCGTTGCGGCATACTTGGAAGTGGTAAGATGTATAGCAGTTGGTGTGCGGTGAATATTGAGGCCGAGAAACTGTGTAACAGTAGGTGTGATAGTGATCTGTAGGTGTTGTTGAAGTGTGTGTTCGAAGGCAGTAGCGAGGAATCAGTGGTGCTAATGTAGAGTAAGTCGTCGACATAAGAGAGGAGTAGGATGTAGTCAAGACCGTCGGTAAGTAAATTCATTCCTTGGTCGTGTGGTAGTTGGCAAAATCCTGCAGTTAGTAATAAAGCATGTAGATACTTTTGCCACAGGCGTGGAGCCTGTTTGATGCCGTAGAGGGATTTTCTCAGACGGCAGATGCTTGGAAGGTTAGTTTCGTAAGAATGTGGTTACTCAACCAAAATTAATGCGTCGATGGGTGCATATAGAAATGCAGTGGCAACGTCGATTTGGCGAAGTCTGACGTTCCGGCAGGCTGCGATTTAGAGTAGGATGCGGACACTAGTGTGTCTGCCGACGGGAGCAAACGTTTACTCGTAGTCGAGTCCAAAAGTCTGCTCAAATTCGCAGACAACCCATCGCAACTTGATTTTTTCGAAGGAACCATCAGCGTTCGTCTTGACACGAAAAAACCCATTTGTCGGTAAGTACCTTACTCCCCTTGACTTCTTTTATTGGGATCAAATCACAGGAGCCTTGCTTTTACAGCACTGCTAACTCCCGGTCCATGGCTTCTTGCCATTTTTCCCTGTGTGGACTGGTCAAAGCTTGGTGAACTGTTTTTGGCTCCAAAATCTTACTGCTATTTGACTGTATTGCAACTGCGAGTCCCAAAACTTGTAACCTAGTTTATGTAAAATGAGGACGATGAGAGTTGACACAAGAGAAATTGCCTTATGACCCCTGTTCCCTTCCAATTTCGCCAGGTGTTACACGGATGGCTGGTTCGGAGACAACGGGCATGGGTTGCTGCTGGCGATCACGCTCGTAATCAAGACGAACGTCCTTGACATCTTCACAGTCGGCTTCGCTGAGTGGGATGAATTCAGCAGTTCCAGCTGACATGGATGGCACGGGGATGTCTGTGGCTGCTTCGGAAGCCTTGGCAACTGCTTCATCCTGTACGTCTATTTCGGCTTCGTCCGTAGCGAAAGCATGCGAGCCTTCGAACAGCCTGGCAGGGTTGGCAACTGCTTCCTGGTGAGCACGAAAAACAGGTAAGGTGAGTCGTTCGTAGAAAAGACAATCAAGTGTTGGTAATATTTGACTTGTGCAAATATCCATGATGTTCCATGCATAAAATTGCTTCTCGACGCCAAGATGAATACCTCACTTAGCTCGTTCTGAAAATTTTCCGAGTGCTACACCTGGAGGCCGGTATTTGACGATGCAGCCAAAAACTTTTAAAAGTTTTGTATTGCAAACTGTTTTTTTCCACAGCAGATGCGGCGAATAAAATTGTGGAAGAGATGTTGTGGACAACAAGTTGTATAGAAGAACTACATGGTCCAAGGCGAATGTCCAAAAATGTGGTGGAAGTGCTGCCTGCGTCAGCAAAACTCTTATCTTCTCTTGTAACGTTCTATTCATCCACTCCACTACCCCCATCTGTTGGTATTGATGTGGCAGAGACCCTCGGCGTTTGATGCCTACAGTTTGAAGATACTCAGTAAAAGTGGTGCTTGTATACTCTCTTGCGCCGTCACTTTGAAATGCTTGAAGCTTTTCCTTCGATTCTCTTTCAGCGACCGCGAACCATGCGACGAAGATAGAGTGAGCCATATGGCGAGCTGGAATGTTGACAGTCCAGATATAGCGAGCAGAAGCTTCGATAAAAGATATCATATAGAGCTCCCCCTTAGGCCCTGCTTCATGTAAGTTCAAGATGTCGCTGTAGACTTTCCGCATAAGTGTGTAGCGAATTGATCCTGGAAAATGACTTGGAAAGGGTTCATGAGGAAGATTAGGAGTGGTACACGTCATGCAGACGGCCGGTTGAGAAGACGGCTTCATATCTGTTCCATCAGGTAAGAGTAAACTGTTCTTGACAAGAAATAAGCCCGTATAGAATGATTGAGTATGCCCTGAGATGGATGCCCTAACCGTTGATGCCATATGTCCTCTGTTGCTTTGATCGCAGATAAAAATCAGCACTAGTGTAAAATGAAGAAATGATGAAAGGAGAAAGCGCTGGAGATTGTTAGAGTTGGCCAGGAACGGAACGAGTAAGAGGTAACTTTGTAGTTTTAACCTCCACGTCGAGAATTTCATCTGGTTCCAAATCTAATTCCCCTACTTCCATATCTGTTTCTTTTGTATATGCTGCAGGTTGACCGATGAGAACCCCTGTTTTTGCTTCGCTGCTACTCTGCTCCTCAGCTGCTTCTGCTATGCTGCTACTGCTGCTTGGTCTCCAAGGTACTTCAGGTTTGGTGGTGGGTTGTGCTAGAGTAGCATAATAGTTCCGCCATGCTGATGTATCTTCTTAGGCTCTGTTTGTTGGCCAGGAATCGAGGGCTGTAACAACTGCAGCAGCTGTACGAGATGCTGTTGGAACAGAAGTTGCACGGAAGTCAATATCAACTTGTTGATAATCAGTTTCTTCATGCTGTTGCCAAGGTCCAAGAGAAATGACTCTTTCGGAATCACCCGAATTTCTTTGAGCTTCAAATTGAAGAACGGAGACACCATATTGTGTGGCAGCTCTCTTGATGTAACTATTTGTCTCGTTGTGATAAAGTTCAAGGTCCATGGTTCCACAATTTCCTTGCGTCCAAATGCGATGTCGAAGGAGTTGAGCTGTCGGAAGAAGATTGAAACCAAGTCTTGATCTGTGTGTTGCTCTTTCAGTGATAGGTTTCGGATAAGCAATGTATTGTTAGGATTAAGGACGGAGTCTAGGTGAAATTAGGAGCTAGAATTACTCAAAATATAAATCCGAAATTCTGGACAGAAAAGTCGTCTTCACAAGAAACGACGTCGACAAAACACTAGCCGTTGGAATGTCACGAAACTTGGATATGTTGTAGCTCTTAATCTCAGCTACCGTTCCCAATTTGAATCACCTTGATTCATAAAGTATTCGCGACGCTATGGCTTTCGACGCACTGGGGGGTAAGCTGTATTAGGAGAACTTAACTCAATCTCAAAAGTTCAATCAAAGTTCAAGAATCTCACAAGGAATTTAGAGGAGCAAGAGAAAGGTTGGGATAGAAGAGAGGGATGAGAGGGAAGGTCCCAAGAGAGTCCCCAACCAAGGAAACCCCATAAGCACAAAGATTCCCTCCCTATAGGAACCCCATCTTTGACATTTGTCCCTTCCCAACCAATCCATCCAAGTTGGCCACCCTTGCCAACCTAGCTTGGTGGTTCCCAACCAATTTGCAGCTGTTACAGTAGAGTGACGAATTTCCCCAACCCCCAAAGGTCCCAACTCCATATAGAGTCACCTCACAACTTCACTTTGTAACCGCCGCAATTGTAACGCAAGCTCATGAAATTTGAATCTTCATAGCTTTCGCGTTCTTGCTCCGATTGAAGCGATTCTTGTTGCGTCGGAAAGATCTTCTCAAGATCTATCATCACAAATACCTGCTCAAATAAAAATAACACAGAACACATTCCCAAACTCCACAACACACACCACACACAAATTCTTGCACACGCTCAAACCACGCATGCAAGTTGAAAACATGGGATGGGAGGCAGACAGAATGTGATAGCATATGATGACATCACATAACATGTATAAGTGCTGAGTGAAGCATGAAGAAAACTTTGCTGCTTCATTTGTGTTCCCCTAACAGGATACGAATAATTGTTGCTGAAGAAAGGCCATAATCCAGCAGATTTCACGAGAAGCTCAAATTCGAAACTCTAGGAGTAGAAGTCAGCGCCATTAAAAGGTATTGTCCCCTTGATCTGCGTATTGCTCAAACGATTGGGAGCCTGAAAAACAGGTCCAGTAAAAGGAATCTGTTGCTGCGGAAATTGCTGTTGCTGTGGCTGATATTGAGATTGCTGTTGAAACTGTTGTGGATGTTGCTGTTGCGCCTGAAATTGTTGTTGTGCTTATTGTTGCTGTTGCAGAAATTGGAACTGTTGTTGCTGTGCAGGTGTAAACGCAAACGAAGAACTGGAGCTTGGAGCAGCTGCAGCTCTTGCATAACTAGATCCATTAAGACTCATGCCACTAAAAATCGCTGTTACCGATGTTGCTGCTTGTTGCGATGGTGCTTGTTGCTGTGATGCTTGTTGTGGTGTTGCAGGTGCAAAGGACGAAGTCCTTGGTGGATGCATAGTAGGCAACCCTTGCTGCTGTTGAGGCATCCTAATTGAAGCATATGCAGGTGGGAATTTTTCAACTGCAGAATCACCTGCTTGCCATGTAATAACAGTAGGATATGTAATACACGTGGGTCGAGTTGTAGAGTTGACGATAGTCTTAATTCCAGATAGCTCTCATACCATGTAAGAATTTGTAAAATGGTGTAGGAGACTAAGTATAGAATCTGCAGACACAAGTATTTGAAGTATAAAATAACACTAGAAGTACTCCTACTAGCAGCCACTGTTAACAAGTTGTAATACTAGAATAAGTGTTACAGTCTTGTGATAATTGAAGACTTGAGCAAGGATCTTTGTTGGAATAGTAGAGAAGGCTGACGTTATCAGGGTATTTTACCCTAATTCCCTGATTTCGCAGAGTACGTTTTTCGGCCAGCCCTAAAATTTTAGGGTGGTCAAAATCTCAACACTTAACCCTTCAGGGTTATAAGTTCTCCAATACTGAGAATTTCAGGGATCGTGTTCTAAGGATACTGAGTTTCCAAGTGCTAATGCGTACCGAGCCTGACACAGACATATTGCACCGAACTGCCCACAATCCTGAGATTTTGGCGAAGTCCCTAATCGCCAGAGACATTTTCCCCACACACCTAGCAACATTATGTAAAAGTTTGGCTAAGTCCAACTGGATGGACACCCCCCCCCCCCCCCCCACATCCAGCAGCAACCTACCGAAATCGGCTAAGTCCTTATAGCCCGAGACATCACCCTCCTCAACAAAAAATCATTGGCTAAGTCCTCTTGCACAGACTCCCCCCTCCCACACTCCCACAACCTACACAAGTCCTCAACATCACCCCTATACCCCCCACAAACCCTGAGAATTTGGGAACCCAGTGGAGCAGTAAAATTTGTACATAGCGATGTACTCCGTAATTACAAGGGTACTAGTGACAATGCCTGAGCATGACAATGACCTTACCCCTACTAGCAATCGTTCCTTTCAGGGGAATTCCCGCCAGCTGCCCGTGTGGTATAAACAATAGTCCAAAACGCTTTGACGACCCCGATCGATTTCTAACCTCGCCGACGTGCTGGAGCTGCTGAACGTCCTCAACAAGGTCTTCCAGCTGCGGAAGGTAAACTTGTTTAATGCTTGTGTTTGCATGCCTGTCGATGTCGTTGCTTGTCTCTGCCGGTCGTCCCTTAACCACGCATCCATCTGTGATGCCGTACCTCTCCTTGCCCCCCTACCCACCAGCTGGACTACACGACGGTGCACGCGCAGATCATTCGCACGACCTCACTGCTGGAGAGCCGCTACGTGGACTGCGGAGACGACTTCACCAGCGGGCCCAACGATCGATTGACGCGGTTCCTCGCCAAGCACGGGCCCGGCAAGTCCAAGCTAGTGACAGTGGAGGGGATCGACTCCAACGGCCGACCTTCACGGTTCACCTTCGAGCTGCACGAAGAGCTCCAAGAGGACTACCCGGGGCCCAGCAACCATGATGAGAGTGTCGTAGCGTGCATGGCTCTGGAGGAGGGCCTGGTCCGCAACCTTGACGAGCGCCTAGGTGATCTACGGCAATTGTTGGGAGCGCGCTTGTTCAGTGTCGACACATGGCCACCCAACTGGGACCAACAAGCACGGAGGATGCAGTGCCTTGAGTGGTTCAACTCGCTCGTAGTCATATACCGCGCTGAAGACAGGGATGAGATTCTGCCAAGTGAATCACCGTCTATTCCTTCCAGTATCCTTGCGGCAATGTATCTGTTCAACAAGACGCCTATTTTTTACTAGCTGTGTACTGTTTTTGATAACCGAACCCTTCTCCCTCTCCTTGTGTGCCATTGAGTGAGCAGGTATAGACAAGCGCAAAGCCCAAAGCGAGCTCCGCAACTTCGTCCCCGTCCTTGCTGCGCTTCCCAAGGTGGACAAGTCATTCCACGAGGGGCTGAGCGCCATGCTTAAGACGCAGGACTGGAGGGACAGCTACCCCAACCTGGTCAACCAGTGGGAGGCGGTGGCTGTCCTTCCGTTGAGCACTGTCGAGTGCGAGCGCGGGTTCTCCCGCCAGAACGTCATCATGAGTTGGCTGCGGGGGGCTCTCAAGGATAATAGGCTAGGAGATCTGATGTGCATGTCGCAGCTAGAGTATGACCCCGACTGGGAAGAGGTGGTCTCCATCTGGCGGGCTTATAAGAAGAGGAAGCCCCTTAGCAACGCCTTGCTCGAGGCCAGTAGCAGCAGGAAGGGAAAGGAGAAAGTAGATGATGATAATGATATGCCGACAGCACCTCAGCAAGATATGCAGGATATTGACTGATTCTGTGGATGTAGTGAATTGTAGTGCATTCTCTAATGAAGGACGATAAAAAAGGCTCATACAAAAGTTTGGCTATGACTCTGATTGGTCAGAAAAAAAAATCCATGGCTACTATGATTTTTCAGACTTTTTCTAGGAAGTGACTCTGACACCCATACCAAGGGAAGGCAGGGGACTCTGACGAATCAGACAGGCCCAAAACCAATTTGGGGGCCTGGTTGCCATGAAGCTTTTTCCCCTGTATATAAGACCCGCCGAAGTAGTCAGCCCATGGGTGGCATATGCAGGGAATAGCTTATGATATGGCACATTTTTTAGAGTACCTGCTTTTCTGGGTTTGCATTTTACATAACACCCAGCTCGTTTTTCTTGCCTTCAAACAATATTTCGTCCTTCATTACCAAGGCCCGCTCAGCTGCAAAAACCGAGCAGGATGAAAATCGCGTCAGGTGCCATTTGCAGCGCAAAGACGGGCAGACGAATCAATACAAGTGGCAAAATGAAATCGAAAGACAGCAAGTGTCGAGAGGATCTTGACCGTCCATCTTGCAGTTTAGATCACGTCAGCAGCAATGGTCAAGAATATCTCGACTTCTTTCTGAAGCACGGAACTGGCTCTGTTGGTCAATGAGATTGGTCAGACGAGATTGGTCAACGACACCTGGCACTCAGGGTTTCAGCTAGGATTTTAGGCCGTCTGGCGTTCAGACGGGGTTTCAAACTTTCGTTTGACCATCATACGATTTTTTTTTCCGGTCCGGCATTTCAGACGAAACATTTGGCACGATCCGACAGTTCAGACGAAACTTTGCGGGAGTTTCACTATACACCCCCAATGCCGAGTGCACTACATTACACTGCTACACAAACAACTGTTACACTTGATAAACATCGTTAGCATCCATTGTAACTGCATCTACTCTAGGAATAGCTGGAAAAAACTCTATGGTGCTACTGATGCTCCACTACCTACACTACAACCTACATTAGGAATTAGCCTTATACTAGACCATGTTGTGCCATGCCACCACCTGCCTACTCAGAGTCCGAACTATCACTTCCAACCTCCTCGATGTCTTCATCACTGTCGGTCTCTGGAACTTGGACCTTCTTGCCCTTGCTTTTCCTCCTCCAGATTGGGCCAGCCGCACCATCCTCTTCAAACACTCTGGCTGCTTCTGCTGTTGCTAGCGCTTCTGCCTGCCTGGCTGCTTCTGCTGCTGCCTTTGCTGCTGCCTTTGCCGCCTTCAATGCCGCCGACGTCTTGGGCCGCTTCACCTGCCGTGCGGTCTGATCCATGACAACTTCCTTGGCAGGCCGCCGCTTCTTCGTTCTATGCCAGCTAGCCACCATACTCCCCCAGTCCATTGGGTAGTCGAGCAGCGACACCGTCATCAAGTGGCCTAGCTTCGCATCACCGATATTGCCGCGCTGCCAGATTTTGATGACGTTCTGGCGGCTGAACCCGTGCTCGCACTCCACTGTGCTGAGCGGCAGCATGGCGCAGGCAATCCAGATGAGAACCAAATTGGGGTAGGCGGTCATCCAGTCCGGCATGGAGAGCACGTTCTTCAGCGCGTCATGGAAGCCCAGCTCGTCGTTGTGTGTCGACATAATGGTGGTGAAACAGACGAGCTCGGCCTTTGCCTTGCCCTAGTGGACACCTGAAGGGGGGGTGAAACAGAGGCACAGAAGCCTTTGTTAATGATCTCCACAACCAGAAAACGCCCGAGCCACGGCGATACTAACAACCCCCTGGAACTCACCCGGCAGAGTGTCGGGCGCTGACGCATCACGCTTGTAGAGGCCACGCAGAGACTGGAGCCATTCAAGAAACTTCCGCTGGCGCCTCACAGTGGACTTTGGGTACATCATCTGCTTGAAGAGTCTTGTGTCGTAGAGCTTCGATAGATCC